AAATCCTTTCCCCTTAACCTTTAATACTTGGACATAGGATGAAAAACTATTTAAGATTATTAGGATATAGTTTTCAAGATAGTAGGTTTCTTAAAGAGACACAAATGCTAACCGTGAAAAAAAATGGCCATATTCAAATTGAGAATTTTGTTTGTTTTGAAAGATTTATTTATGTTGACTTCCATGTGTATTTGCCTGTGTGTATGTATGTGCACCACCTGCATGACTGGTGCCTGCAGTGGCCAGAAGAGGGCATCCGATCTCCCAGAACTGGAATTAAAGTTAGTTATGAGCAGCTGTATGGGTGCTGGGAACCCAACATGGGTCCTCTGTAAGAGCAGTGCTTGTAACAGCTGAGCTATCTCTCCAACCCTGACAATTATATATATATATATATATTTATATATCCTATAACCTGCCTGTGGAAGGTTACTTTCTGAAAAATCTCTTTTAACTCCAACAAATAAGTTAATATGTACAAAACCAAACTATCCATAAAAGAAATAGGAAACACACACACACACACACACACACACACACACATGCACACACTAACACACACAACACACAGAGGGTTCACAGAGCATGCAACATGAATGGTTGTTCATACACAAGTAATATTCAGGCCCATTACCAACAGAGAGACACTAAGTACGACACCAATGGATACCATTTTTCACCTACTGGATTGGCAAAAATCAAGATGTATGAATGACAGCATCAAGGGTTTGATGCAGTTGTGAGTCCACTGGAAATTTTAAATACTGCTAATTTTCTAACCAGAAGAAGTTGAATATTCATATACATGTTGCCTAACAATCTTATCCTAGAGGCACTCTTGTGTATGTGCACAAGATTTATGTAATTCTGTACTGCTAGGAGAAGCTCATGCTAAGTTATTTTAATACCAACCACTCACAGAAACCAAGTTTAGAATGCATCAGCTGCTAGGGAACTAGAGAAGATACACTAAGAAGAAAGCCATCAGCCTAAGTGATGGACATGAGGAACCCTGTAGGGAAGGCTCACAAGCACTACTGGTGCATTTGGGCTCCGCCCTTTATTTGCATATATTAACTATGGCATGAGAATTTAAATAATGGAGGTAATCATGTGACCAGTCTCCTCTGAGAACACAGAAAGAATTGGCCCAGTTACTCGTGATTCTCCTCTGGCTCACAGATTCTCCAACACAGAACATGAGGTACAGTGCAAGCAACAGGACCATTCATACCCTGCATTAATTGAGAGTTAACTGTTTTGTAATTTCCTGGCAGAGTCAGAAGTCAAACCCAGATCTTTTTTTTTTTTTTAGTTTTTTTATTTTTTATATATTTGAATTGCAAACAAGATTGAATACATGACAATCCCAGTTCCCTTCGCTCTCCCTTCCTCCCCTATCACCCCTCAACTAAAATCCTACCTATCATATGTCCTTTCTTCTAATCTACACCTGACTCAACCTTTCTGCTCCCTCATGACCTCTGCATCCTTCCTTTTCTTCCCTTCTCACTCTCAAAGCTTCCTCCCCCCAATTCCCATGTTCTCAATTTGCTCAGGGGATGGTGACCCTTTCCCCTTCTCCAGGGGACAAAGTTTTTCTCTTTTAGGGTCTTCTTTGTTTACTAGTATCTCTGGCAGTGTGGATTGTAGGCTGGTAATCCTTTACTCTATGTCTAAAATCCACATATGAGTGAGTATATATGATGTTTGTCTTTTTGTGATTGGGTTACCTCGCTCAGAATGGTTTCTTCGAGTTCCATCCATTTTCCTGCAAATGTCAAGATTCCATTGTT